CAGAAATCAGGTGCCCCAAGTAAAAGATGGATTTCTGGCCAAAAGAGCATTTGGATCGTTTCACAAAGAAGACCTGGTCCCGAAGAGTGCTTAGGACCATACGCAGGTGATCTTGATGGGTGGACAAGGTGGCGCTATAAATCAATATGTCATCGAAAAATACGAGGACAAATTTCCGGAGATAAGGAGCAAACAACTGGTTCATACAAGCTTGGAAGGTCGAGGGTGCATTTGTAAGACCAAATGGCATAACAAGGAATTCGTAATGCCCATCGTGAGTTCGGAAGGCCGTCTTGTAAATGTCGCGGTCTGCCATACGGATTTGATGATACCCCGAACGTAAATCCAACTTGGTGAAGTATTGAGCTTTGCCTAGTTCATCAAAGAGCTCATCCGCGGTCGGGATCGGAAAGTGATCGAGTACCGTGATGGCGTTCAAGGCACGATAATCAACACAGAAACGGAACGTGCCATCCTTCTTTTTGACAAGTAATACCGGTGAGGAAAAGGGACTCCTACTTGGTCGAATTAGCCCGTGATCCAACATCTCTTTGACCAGTCGCTCGATCTCCCCTTTTTGGTAGTGGGGGTATCGATATGGCCGCACATTAACTGGAAAACTGCCGGGGCGAAGGAATATTCGGTGATCTGCGAGGCGGCGAGGTGGCAGCCCTTGGGGACACTCGAAAACGCCTTGAAATTCATCTAACAGGCCCTGGACAGCCGCTGGAATGGGGGGTTCCTCTGGGGCTGCCTTGTCGTACTGAGTAACAGACAAGAGCTCATAATAATCCGTAATGAGGTGAGACGCGTGCAACGAGCGAAACATAGAAAGAGAAACCGGTTTGGGTGCATTATCTCCTTGAATTTGGACAGATCGGCCCTCCCATGTAAATTCCAAGGTTAATTGTGCATAATCTTGGGATACCTTTCCGAACTGTTGAAGCCATTGGACACCCAATACAATATCTTGCCCATGAATCTGCAACACAAATAAATCAACAGAAAAGAGATGAGTCTGCATTAAGAGGGGTACCCCGACACACCGGGATGCGCACGGCATGGCGTCCCCATTACCGACGTAAACCCAGAATGGTGTAACTGCTTGAAGTGGTAGTTGTAGACGCGCCACAATCTCCGGGTGAATAAAATTATGAGTGCTTCCCCCGTCAATGAGGACCCGAACGTCGTGACTGCCAATGCGTCCCATGAGCCGTAGGGAACGCGGGGGTTGAAGTCCTGCAAAATTATTTAAGCTAGAGATGTCGGCAGTGACCAGTAGGTCGTCCTCAGGCTCGGCAGACAGATCCTCCTCCTCGGCGTCGGCCCCACAAATCAACAAGAACCGTCCGCATTTGTGAGTACGCGACCATTTTTGGTCGCAGTTGTAACATAGTCCCTTTGCGTCCTTGGCTGCTTTCTCGGCCGGGGAGAGGCGACGAATTGTGTGAGGAACTGAGGGTGGCTTTGGGGGTGTCGGGAGCAAGGGTTCCGTTGGCGCGGCGCGTAAACCTTGGACGGGTTGTCGCGGTATGCCACCCGATGTGCCATACGACGATCGCTGTTGGACGGAGTTCACCAAGGCGAGATGTTTTGCCTCAAGTTCACGAGCCAATGCAAAGGATTCTGATAATGTTTGAGGTTTGTGCATGGCAATTTCCTGTTGTAGATGGTGCTTCAAACCTGCATGAAAAAGGGAGACCAATATTTCCTCATTCGCGCCGGACACATGCTGTAGAACTTTTTCAAAGGCTGTCTGGTAATCTATAACAGCCCCCTGTTGCCGCAATTTAGCAAGCTGCCCAAAGTAGTCAATGTATTGATTGGGGTCGAACCGCTGCTTAAACTTGTCAACAAAGTCGTCCCACCCGTCGATCAATTTGTTTTCCATGCGCCATCGAAACCAGTCTGCCGCTGCTCCTTCCAACATCAAAGTGATACAACGGAGGCGTTCATCCGGCGGAGTATCGTAGAATTCAAAGTACTCTTTTACCTTATACAGCCAACGCAGCGGTTCCGAACCGTCACACTTCGGGGACTCGAGCTTAGGTTTGGGTGTATATGAGGAACCACCCCGGTCGACGTGGAACTCACCACCCAAATTTTTGTCGCCGTGGCCGCGGTGTTGGTTGCTGGTGCGCCCGGCGATGAGCAGAGCCTCGACCCGATTATATTGAGCATCGAGTTTGGAGGATTGAAGGGTCAATCTCGTCTCAAAGTCACGCTGCAGTTGAGTCACCGTCTCCCGCAAAGAGTCATGCAACTCCTTGAAGCGAGCTTCAATTGCCGTCAGATGGTCCGTGAGAGGGTTCTGGGAAGCGGACATGGTCAAACAAACTCAACAAGAGCACCAATGATACGTTCTTGTATCGGTTGGGAGAGACTTCGAGCGCCTCCGGGCTCCGGAAAGTTGAGACGAAGAAGAGAAGAATAGGCGCACCAGATGCGCCGCAAGAGAGGTAAAGAAGATAGACTAATTAGGGTTTTTGATTATTCTCCCATAGTAATCCCGATGGGTACATCTCCTCTTATAGTTGAAACCCTAACCCTAATCTACCTGTCGGTTCAATAAAGGCGTCAAGGGAAAGAACCGAAAAGAAAACCCTTGAAGGAGCTTATAGACCGCTCTCCTAAGAAAATCTATTACAATTATTAAATAAAACAATAATAATGAAAGTAATAGAAGTACTACTAAAAATAACTACGTGTCGTAGTCCGCATGCCATGCCGGTGGTCGTCTTGTTCTTGTGCCCCTACGCACCGGACTCCCTGCGTCCCCCGGCTGCCCATCGTCACTGTCCCGTGTTGGTTCCCCACATTCATTCTCTACTGCTCCGTCATCCCCCAGTGGAGTACTCGTAACATCTGCTAATTTCACAGAAAAGTAGGAATGGCTAAGAACCCTATGTGGGAAGGAAACATGATGTAAATGGTAACTGCAGCCGCAACTCATGCCGTTTTTTTCTATACGTGCGTGGAATTTAGAATCTAAAATTAGAGGTTATTTTAGTCATTTTCTATTCACAAACGTGTGATCAAATAGGACCACTCCTATATAGGGAAAACCTGCACCTTCTACTCCTATTTCTGTAAATTACTCATAAATTAAACCTCCTCCTAACCCCCCCCCCTCCCCCTCGTTCACTTGGTCCACCAAAAATCTAACATTATACGGAGTATCAAAGCCAAGTTCAATTCAAGTTCTAGAATTCATCGAGCTAACTATAAAGAGATCAGAATAAGTGCGGGCCGCGCGGCGGAGGCAGAAAAACGAGGAGGCGCGTGGGAAATCCCAAACGGTACAAAATGTGGCGAGCCGCCGTGAGTGCGCGATAAGGTTGCCGTACCACGTGTTGAAGTGCCAGCTTTCCCAGGTTTGGACCTACCTGCATGGAATTCTCCACCTTTATTTTCAGGCCCTCCAACTCTTCCCCCATTTCAAGATAGGCCCTCCTCCAAATTCTCCACATTTTCAGGACTCATTTTTTTTACGGAGTAATTAAAAGAAAGAAAGAAAAAAAACAGCAGTGCGTGCCCGCTGTTTGCAATATTTTCTTCCCCATTTTTTTAAGAATTAAATTACCTGCACATCGTTTTCAAAAAATTACTTATACACTAAAAATTACTCCGTATATTTAAATTGTATATCGTTGCATTTTTATTTTGTGTCAGCATAATCATTTTCCCAAGCAAAAATACGTATTAGGATTTTTCATATCACATTACTACTTTATATCAGTGTAAACTATCAAAATATTGATACATAATTTTATTGTATAGTTTAGAGTAAATTAAGCTCTTTGTTGTACCCTAGAAAAAATGAGAGATAGGTTTTTAGGGACAAGTTTATGAGGGGATACCATATTTTATATCTACATACATACAAGTATACGTATTTATTTTTTAAAAAATTAAGGCAAAATTATTACGGACTATAGGTATAAACTATAAAATGTATTGATTTTTTTTTAAAGTAATTGATTTGCTCATGTAAAAAAAATGCATAGTGAATGATGTTATATCAATAATAAAAACATTAGGTAGGACGCATTTAAGAAGTTAAATTAAATACGAATATTCTTTTAAAACATTCAATTCGTGAACTTTTATTTTTTCTGTTAGTACTGTATGAAAGTCAAATTTCAAGCGCACCTTTGTGTATCCCCTTTGTTTGGTTTTACACTGTATAACCGTTGAATCACCCCATTCTTGTGGGAAAATTAAAGCTCAATTTCCACCTTTTAAAAATTATTACTATCTCCTTTAGGCCCCATTTAATACACGAAATTCAAATTATAATATTGGAATTGAGACTTAAATTCCAATTCTCATATTTGGTAGCACAAAATTTATGTGGATTTGAAATTGGTAGTGTAAAAAATAAATTGGAATTATTGAATTCAATTCTATGGAATTGAATCCCGTGAAATTTTAATTCCAATTCAATTCCAATTTCACCAATTTCGTGTACCAAACGGATCCTTAGGTATTTGTTCTATTTTGACATTTTTTAATCAATCGTTTTTAACTTTTGACATATAATTAAATAAATATGTATTAATATTATTTAGATATAATAATATTTTAAAAATATTTTACATAATATATCTAATAAAATTATTTTTATATTAATATCTAATCTTATTTTTATTTAATTTGGGTCAAAATTTACTAATTTTGATCAAAAAAATCAACAAATACACAAGTAATCTTGATTTTGTAGGCCTTACTTGAAATAATTATTCTTTTATAACGTTGATGAGCCTTTTCAAAATGCTAAGCTCACAAAATAAGAATTTCATGAATAAGTTTACATATTATAGGTGAAACTTGGAACCACCAAATTATAAATCTAATATTTATGTGAAATCAAGTTCTATATAAGTAATTAATTATTATATAACTATGCATTTATTTTCTAATTTCAATTTTTTTTTAAATAATTTCCATATCAAACCGTGAATATCTGCTCAAACTAATCCTAGCTTAAATTAATTATTTATGTCAAAGAATTCTTAATGGCCTTTTGACTCATTGTGGACCTTTGGTTGATGATAGAATTATATATTGTACAACCCATAAGTTATACTATTACCATACTTAAATTATTGTTTAACTTTTTTTTGCACCAAATTTTAAAGATGACACTAACTTTGTGATTGCGTTTTTTTCCTAAATTAAAAAGTAAATATTTTCATGTGCTATTTCCTCAAAACTCAAAGTGAGATCTAAATAAAGTTCTTTTAAGAACCATATATACAAAGTTCTTTTAATAATAAATCCTATTATGTCTCATAAAATATATTTTGCTTCTTACGGAGTATTAAATAAATTCTCGAATAGGAGTATTTTAATTTTTCAACATTTTCTAATAACTTTTAAAACTTGAGTAAATCAAAGCATAAATCTTTTTGCCAAAGATCTTGAAAAATTGTCAATAATAGTATACACATCCTCCAGAGGCTATACTTTTTGCGAGATATTATAGAGTTTGTTGTTATTGTTGTAGGAATTCACACAGATGTTTTGAATTTGATATCAGATGATCTAAATTCTCTCACAATAGAATATACTACCTCCGTCTCATTGTCTTTGTCCAGTTTTGACTTTTGGAACTGTTCATCTAAGCACTTTGACTCATCAAATTCTCTCAATGTGTAAGCCTAAAAATAGTCATGTGTGATCTTGTTTGATTCGTCTTAACATATAGATTATTAATATATAATTTTTATAATTTTTTAATATAGAAATTACAAGATAAAATGGATTGAAAAAGTGCATTGGATGGTGTGCCAAAAGGTAACTGGACAAAGAGAGTGGGACCGAGGGAGTAAAACTATTTCTTGGAGTTAATGCCACAAATTTGAGCTTTTGATTTAGTTGTTTCCTCTATTTGGCATAAAAGTCTTGTTAACTGAAATATCATGAGTTCAAAATTCATCGTCACTCAAACTTTTTAGCTAACAAGGTTTCACGTAAAAAGAAATATCCCGGAGTAAGTTTTTTGTATAGTTATAGAGAAAAAAAAGAAAATAAAAAATAAATAAACTAAGAGAAGGGAAAAACAAGATTTCACTCGTTTTGGTGAGGAAAAATGAGAAAAAAGAAATTTCTTTTTTTATTTCCTAATTTCTTAAACCAAATATTGTGTTAAAAAAACCAAAACTCCATAAAGCACCCTACAGTTTCCCATTATATAAATCCAAAAATAAGATTTTTTGGAAGGCGATCAATTAAAATTAAATAAAAAGCATTCTTTTTGAACGAGTGAATCTAGATTACGCCAGTTCGAATTGGGGAATAACGAGGGGCATAGTAGTGACTAGTGATTAGGCAATTCAGATAATAAAAACAAATTAAATTGTAGGACAAATATAATATATTCCATATTTCTTTACTTTATTTAAAAAATTAAAAACGTTAAATTATAATTTCGACAATCAAGAAATGTAAAGCTGCTCAAAATTATTTACAAAATCATAAAGATTCTTTAATTTCATTTTCAACCTATGGAGGAGAAGTGGATGATGAATATACCCCAACTCCAAGTTTCACCTGTTACTTACGACTCGACTTTTGACGCAACACCTGAAAGTTTTTGAACCATTCACAAAAGATTCCCCAAATTGTGGGGGGCATATCTGATATTCCACCACCCCAAAGGGGCCAAATTGCAATTACGATAATATCACACTCTTCCCAGGATACCACTCCTTCGGAAAACCACTAGCGCCGCGGGCCCCACCTCCAAAAACTCACTCTATCTTCATCTTTTCCTTTATATAACCTCCCCGTCCCCCGTTTTCCCCTTCCTCCATTTTCTATCCAATCGTTTGAAGCTCTATCGGAGAAGAAGGAAGAAGATTCTAGAACCATGCGGATGAGCTGTAACGGATGCCGCGTTCTCCGGAAAGGATGCAACGAGAAATGCTCGATCAAGCCTTGCCTCCAGTGGATCAAGTCGCCGGAAGCTCAATCCAACGCCACCGTCTTCCTCGCCAAGTTCTACGGCCGCGCCGGACTTCTCAACCTCATCAACGCCGGTCCCGATCACCTCCGTCCCGGTGAGTCTCCACATTTTATTTCACCGGAAATTGAAACCCGGCCCCCTCTGGAGTCTGGACTGGAGTTATTGACGTTTTTTGTGTGTTTAATTTTTGGAATTTGTTGCAGCGATTTTTAGATCTCTGTTGTACGAAGCGTGCGGGCGAATTGTGAATCCGATTTACGGATCGGCGGGGCTGTTGTGGTCCGGCAACTGGCAGCTTTGTCAGGCGGCGGTCGAGGCCGTGCTCGGCGGCGCGCCGATCACGAAGCTCTCGCCGGACTCCGCCGCCTGCACCATGAGCCCTTCCATGAAAGCCTGCGACATCCGCCACGTGTCCAAGGAGGAGAATTCCGGCCCCTCTGCCGTGCCTCCGCGGGATCTCCACGCGATTCACGGCCGGAGACCGTTCAAGCGGGTCGGGTCGGCGAAACCGAAGAGGAGTGCGTGCTCGTCCGAGGTGGACGACGCCGCTCGGGTGATGTGGAGCTGGAACCACAAGGACGGCGGCGTCCGGTCCCCTAGCCGGTACTCCGAGGAGCTGAGCCAAAATGGGGAGAGCGGCGGCGACGGAAACAGCGCGTCAGTGGAGACGGTTGAGGCTTCCTTAGCGAGGCCGGACGATGAGAGCGAGGTCGAGCTGGACCTGACTCTCGGCTTGGAACCAATGACCAGACACCGGAAACCGCCGCCGGCTGAAACCGATTGTAGAATGGAACTGTAAGTTATTACTGGATCACATAGCATAACCTCAAAAAGACCATTTTGACCTCAGATGTAATAGTATTATCTCCTTTTTTGTCCTAGGTTTTTTTTTGTGGTGATTGAGATGTAATTTCATAGGCTATGTTATTATTCATATCCGCCAATATTTCGGAATTTTAAAAAATAAAACTCTTGGAGTACATTATATTAAATTATAATTACAAAAATAAAATTTCTATATACATCATATTAATATTAGGCTTTGTTTGTGAACATCGTTTATCTATTTAATTATTTTAGACGATTTAAAAAAATAGTTACAATTTTTATTACCAAACAATTTGCGTAACTACACACAAGCTCAAGCTGTAAAAATGTCTGGCAATTAAATGTTCAGCTCAATATTATTTACCCGTAATGACTTTTTTAGTTTCGTGAGAATGAAAAGAAAAAATGTGACTGGTTCACGCAAGATATGGTAAAACCGACCCATTCAACCTAATTCGAGTTGCTTTGAAATTTATATCAATATAATGTTGGGCTTTAAAGCAGGCCTTAGTGGTCTACACCTAAGATGGCCGGGCCCATTGTGTATACCATAATACCATTTTAAAAAAATACAGCCCTTCAAGTCAATTCTTTTAGTAATTGTGTAGAGACTAAACATAATATACATTGATAACTAGTATATAAAATAATTTACAAAATAAAGACTTCTCCTCTCAAGTTTGAAGTATGAAGTTAACTAGGATATGATCTTAGACAATGTCTTTTTACACTACATTTACATTTATTGTATATGACATCCAAAATCTTAAATTACACAAACAAATTTTGTAATATGTTTCAAAGATAATGTGCTTTAAAAAAAAAGAAAAATTTACTCCCACAACTGCTCTATTTTTGTAATTTACAAACTAAAGACTTTCCCTCTCAAATTTTGTAATATGTTTCAAAGTATGCTTAAAACAAGAAAATTTCAAAAATCAATTAATTACATTATTACTCCCACAATTGCCTTATTTTTTTTATATAAAAACACTCCATGCGCCACCTTACTTGCACAATCATATTGTGTAATATCTACATTAACTTTTAAAGTGATGAACTGAGGCTTGGAAAATTTAACTTTCAAATTTTTTAACTTCTTCAGACTTTTTTCAATTCCTTACAATTTCTTCTAACATCTAACTTTAGAAATTAAACATAAAATAACATGCCCTAATTGTGAGAGACGTGATTGATATTTGACTTGGAGGAAGAATTAGTAATTTATTTTTTATGATAACTTAGAAAAAGTAATTTTTTAAGATCATTACTTCAAAAATCTATTTAGATTATACACAAATTTATTGTGTAAGTAAGATAGTGGGTGGAGTGTTTTTATAAAAAGAGAACAATCTTGAGAGTAATGGTATAATTAATTGAGTTTTGGAGTAATCTTGTAAAATCGGGAATTTGTCGGAGAAAGATAATGTTGTCCTAGAAAATAGATGCGCAAACTTTTTTTAATATCTTTTTAATGTCAATGATTTACACCTTGCCTTTTGGCTTCTGCAAAATTCGAAAATTAGATGTGAATAATTTGTAAAATAAGAGATTTTTTATGGGATAAAATGAGTATATAACTTAATAGTATAGATCTTGGAATGTGCAATCAAGGTTTGACTATGTTTGATAACTTTGACAAATTGATAGTTACGAAAATAGAACAAACTGCAATCAAGCTATTGCGCGGTAGAGTTATGTTGAACTTCATGTTATTCCATGATCTCCGTGTGAAATGTAAACATCATCAAATTTTTCATTGCTGACAATTGTATATTTTTTTTTTTACAAAAGACTTAATTCTTTTATGATAATTTCATATACTAAAATTAATAAAATGAAGGTGAAGCGATTAACTACATAAGAATTGTATGTGTTGGTAGGAAGATAATCTTTTCTTTTATTGTTAAAAAAATGAATTTTAGAACCGAATTAAACATAAATATATAATCACATTTTTTGAGGTCTTGTGAATAGAGTTCATAATAGGCCCATTTACCAATCCAGATTACGAAAGCCGGCCGGCCTAATAATAATTTAAGTAAGTAAACCTCAAACATATCGCTCACTCACTATTTCTCCAAAAAAACTCTCTTTAAAAAAATATATTTCAAATAACGGGAATTTGAAAAAGTAGTAATTCAATTAATTCTCACCGCTAATAATGTAATATTCCATTATTTTCTCTAAATAATTTAAATACTCTCTCCATCTCAATTTCGATTACAATTTTAATTAATTTCTCGCCTCTTGAAAACTTTTTTGTGTTTCCATTACTTATTCAATAAAATAAAATAATCTTGTCACCTCTAATTTTGTATAACTTTTTGACGTAATTTTTTAATATGTAATTTTTATTTTTTATTGATTTAACAATTTAAAAATAAAATAATTTCAAAAGATACAAAGTTTTACATCGTAAATTCCAATTTGTAAGAAACAGAGAGAATATGTGAACATATAATGGGTTGATAATGTTTAAAGAGACATTTTCTCCACCAGAAACCAATATTTTAAATCCTGACCATTGAAATAGATTATTTTGGATCGGAGAGCGTACGTGAATGCATGCATGAGTTATGAGTGACATTTATCACTATCACAACCATAACAAAAGCAAGAAACGAAGCATTGGCGGTTGCAGTATGTTTGCTGCAGCATTCTCCTCCCCACCACGTTGCCGCCGCCGCCGCCACTTGATTCCGCCGCATTCCACTGTTTCTTGACAGAGGCGGCTGTAATGGTCGTCGTGGGCCCGCCGCCGCTGGCATCGACGGCAATATTATTATTATTGGAAAGGAGAAAAAAGAGGATGGTCACGGCGGCCATTTTTGCTGCGATAATTTTGTCCATAACAATAATTATTTATCGAGATATAAATAGTATTAAATTAATGGGAGTATTTAATTTCGAATAACTCTTTCTTTCTATTTTTCGTTTCAAATTGGGTGCGTTTGTTTCCAATCACACCATCCCACTCATATATTTATAGATTGAAAGAATATGGCGCAGATCTAGTTTATTTGACCCGTCTTTCTTTCTTTTTTATGACCTGTCTCACAAAATCATTCACATTTCTATTAACAACTCAATTTTACTCATATTAATTCTTAGCATATTTATCACAATATATTTTTTAGTAATAATTTAAATATTCCATCACATAAGAGTATTTTTGAAAATTCAAGACAAAAATACTATTCTCTTACATTTCCTAACAATCAAAACAGAGACATCTTTTTGAGACAGAGAAAGTATCTATATAGTTTTAACTTTTTATAGTTAATTAACAAATTCTGACCATTGAGTACATTAATTTAAACACTCTACTATTAGCTAGACATCCGTAAAAAAATAATTTTATTAAATTTCTTGTATAGAATATTTTCAAAATATTGTTTTATATTCCGTATAATAAATATATCATATAAATTTTATTTAATTACGGAGTATATCATAAATGTCGATCTTAAGTGTTTTTATAAAGTAAAAACTAGACACATACTCGTACTTGGAAGTGAGCGATTGATAATTTGTGATAATCGTGTGTCTACAAATCTACTCCCTCCATTTCTTTAAACATTCACTCTTTCATTTTTTGTTTTTCTCAAAATACTTTCAATTTTTTTATTATAATCTACTTTTATTCTTACTTTTTCTTACCATACGTATTACATCATACTTTTTTCACTAATAATCTATCTATCATATCTTACTTTTACTCATCATATTAATAATAAAATTAGAAAGTCAACCTACAAATATACATTTCTTATTTTTCCTAAAAGTCAAAATTAGAATCTTTATCTTTATATATAATATTTGAGAGTTTAGCTTTTAGAATTGCGACATGTGTCAAGCTTACTTGGCGTTTTTTTAACATATGAGCAGCCATGTGAGCAATTGATCCAAAGGTTTTTTTCTTTTTAAGTTTTCTACGGACCAGATAATGTGATTCGGCTTACCATCTGCGATCTTCCTCTCTTCATTTCACGCTTACCATCTGCAATCGGGACTTGCCTTCTAGGCCGGCAAAATTCCTTCATCTGCAAAATCCGGTAATGATCTCTGATTCTGATTGATAAAATTGATATCGATTGATGAACAATTCCTTTTTTTCCTTTTGCAAACATCAATTTTGTAGGAGTTATCAATTCTGATTGGTGTGTGATTTGACGATGTAGCGGATATATTCAATTGGATTGATATTCATGGTTAATTTTAAGAAAAAATCCTCTTTTTCCTTCTACAAACAACAACTTGGTATTATTTTTGGTTAAATTGAATTCAATTATCAATACCGGAGTATTATTTTCCAGACCAATTTTCTTTGCGATTGAGGACAAATTATCTTACAAATTGGGGAAAGATTGACCAAATTTTGGCACTTCAACAAAATTTGTTTATTCCTGAGTTCATGAAACTTCTTTTAAATATAATTATAATCTATGCAATGCATTTTTTTATTCCTTTGCTCTATTGGCATGTCTTCCAGGATCGTTCATCCTTTGTCAAAGATCACTCCGAACAATGCGTGTTTGAGGGTTTTAATTCGTGTGATACGAATGTATACGTTGCCAGTGTAAAATTATGAAAAGGAAATGAATTCAACTGAAATGGCATTCATGGAACACGTAAGTAAATCCTTGCTGCATCTTTACTCTTTTTGTTGAACCAATAATCTGTGTGTTTTGAGATTCTTTTAACAAAAGAGTGTCTTTTCATTGTTGAGCCAATTCTTACTTCAAACAGTTTTGATGGCTTGGTACTTGGAGTTTGATTTAAATCAATCTTTTTGTGTATCTTACACCAATATCATAAAGTAATCAATGTTTCTTTTTATTTATTGGAATTCTTTTTTTATGCTACCAAATGTACTTTGTGTTTTTATGCTACCAAATGTGCTTTGTAAATAAGACTGATTACTTTTTTAAAAAACATAATGTATGGTGTGCGTGGTGAGGATGGTGCAGAAAATATTCACATGAGGAGAGAGAGTAAGATCATTTTTTATTGTTTCAGTTTCAGAATCTGATCCACATATTGTTTGATTAGCTAGCCTTTTATCATTTGATTTTGTTTGTATTGCAGAATCTATATCCATGGGTTCAAAAATCTCATGGCTCATTCCATGGGTTCAAAAATCTCAGTTTTTTTCCAGAAATTCGATTTCAGAAACTATTATTTCCAAAAAATT